TGTTTTGGTTATAAATATCCTTTTTACAGGCCATTTTTTCCTTTTTACTATTTTTTTAGAGGTGATAGTAGCAACACATCAATCTGGTGGCAATACCACAGAAAATCGGCATCTATTTATGGCTAGAAACAAATTTTAAGCCCCTTGATTCACCCTGATTCTTAACTCCCTCTTCCATCCTTATCTAGGAGCCGAGCTACTTTGCCTCATTTCATATTTCTTTTTTAACAATGATTTTCACAGGTTTTGTCCATCATCGTGATATATTTTTATTTTTATTTGATTGTACGTACTTAATTTATTTTTACCTTTGGGTTTCAATTTTATTATGCTTATTTTGATGCCATCGATGTCTTTGTCACACTGCATAATTTATATCAGCCTTTGCTGTTGGCTCCTCCCATTGAGCTGGTTGATATTTACCTCCTCATCTGTTGTCTTCTTGGTCTCCACTCACCAGCTCCTAACAACGGCAGTCTTTACCGCCTAGTCAGCATCCTTCGCTCCCAACCTAATGAGGGTGATCTAAAACATTACCAGGACACAGGGCAGTTGCGTTTTGTCTTGGGGCCCGAAGGTTCGAATTATATACTTTCCTCATTGTTCAACATGATGGCTACGGAGACTTTTGTAACTGGTGAGCAATCTAGATTAACTTAGTATGTCTATCAGTGTCTGCCCACTAAGGACTTGAGACTAATTGATTACTATGATAAAAAGTTGTATTAATCCAGGGTGGACTACAGTTTCGACCTCGAATCGGTCTTATCAACACCCCCAGCGGGAGTCGAACCGTGATAGTGCAGAATGGGAGCTTGACACGTTAGCCACTTGTCCGCATTGTCACGAGTGGCCTTGAGCCACAGGGCATATGTAAATTTCAAGGAAGCTCAATAAAAACATCAGCTCTACACATCATTGTGGGAAAATTCTACTACCAGTTCTTCATTACCTTAAACGAAATTGGGCGAATATCTCTCATATTACCGATTTACTGGTAGTCCTGAAACTCTACTCAAATACGAAAATAAGATAAGGACTTAAGACTAATTGATTACTATGATAAAGAGTTGTATTACGCTCCCGTTGTATTTCGTAAAAATCCTTATTTATATACCAAATATTCATCAATCATTTTTTAGCTCACTTCGCCTACCAAACGCTGACATAGTTGCTATATTTTTTATTCATATCTTCATTCAATATAATTATTTGATTTATACAGATTGGTATAGGAAAACTGTTACCTACCGGAGTATACGCCTGCACTCTTTGTGAGTAGGTTTTCGAGGCAACTCATAAACCTGCACTTGTCTGATCTATTCAATATAGACCTAACGCATTATCTTATTATACTTTCTTTACTTATCCCAGGCCTCAATTCCAAGTCATCTAAGCTTCGATAAACTGAGGATATAGTAACGCTGTAACTCAGGCAATTGGTAATTTGTAAATGCATGATTAGCATAATTTAAGTCTGAGTCAAACCAAAATTGCGAGATAGCATGGTTATGACAGGCGCCCAAAAGTATCGGGCTGAATTGAGATTGGTTACGATCACGAAAGAGTAATCGGGGTGCCCAAGATACTCATTTCTGTTTTCTAAATGGTCAGCTTGAAGGATGAGTTATTTGGCCCATGAAAGAAACTGGTTCTGTTTTAACACCTTATGTGGGACGAAGGCGGCAGCTTTATTGCTCAAGGATATTATTTTAGAGTTCTGCTAGAGAGCCATACACTTTTAGGAGAATAACCCGGGCAAAGTAAATAATAAGAGTTGACTTTATTTAGTATCCTTTCAAATTGCTCGAATAGCATAAGAATAGTTGGATGCACAAAAGAACCGAGACTTTAATATAAGTTACCTTAAAATTGATTTAAAGTAGAAGTTGTTTTTAGGTAGAGTTGTTGAATACTTAGCTTCGGAGGATATGTGTATTTATTTGTGACGTTGCTAAGCCATTTACTAATAGAGGATATATCCCTTACACTTAATCTATTCTATAAGCAGTCCTATCTTTTGCAAAATTAGCGGTGGCGATTATGTTTATCTATATAAAAAAATATAAAGATAC